AAAGCAAAACCCAAAGGGGAATGCAAAACGGGACTGGAGTAGGTCCAGGAGAAGGAAGCAAAATAACTTACTGTATAAATAAATAAGTGAACCCACTACTGAAGCAAGAGACTCACAGTACATTTATATCCATTGCACATAGCCACTTTGTCATCAGGACCAAGTTTCAGAAGTGGACGGGACACGGGAGCGCAGGGCCAGCGCCAGCGGAGTTGCTACATTGTAATCACAATTCGGGGTCCGAGGCTGTACCGGGGTGGGGAGAGGCCCCCTTCTCCCCTTTCTTACTCCCTTCGGTCCAGTTAACCCCATGAGGTCCGATGCCCTGGAGTTTAACCGTGGGGCCAGGTAGTATTTACACTTGGAAACAGAGACGGGCTCCTGGGCCAGGGCGCCCGGGAGGGGGCGGGCAAGGCCGAGGCGCCCCGGAGGAGGGCAGGCGGGCGGGAGGCTGTATTTACATCGGTCCGAATGGCTTGTTCCTCGCTCTCGGCCGCCGCGGCCGCGGGTATTTACAAGAAGAGAGCAGCATGGCTTGAGGGCTCGTGGGGAGGCCGGCCCGGCCCTAGGGTAACAGCGGGGGCTTGAAGGAGCAGTTGCCAGAGCAGTGGCGGGGCGTCAGCATCTTGCAGGAGAAGTGGTGCAGGGCGTCGTGGGCTTCTGGAGAGACAGTCGGGCGGGCAACACTGGGTGCCTCGTCTGTCTGCCTCACCTGGCCCGGGCGGTCCACCCGCCCCCCTCCTCTGTCCGCTAAGGTCTCAACCACACGCTTCCGGCTCAGGGGTTCTTAAGCGAGCGGATCAGAAGGTAGGAGGATAGGAGAGAGATTCTGGCGACTCAGAATCACTGCTTTGGTTCAATAGCCCCATTTTACGGAACAGGAAACTGAGGCACAGTAAGAGGGACGTCGATCTGCCCAAGGCCAGATTTGGACCCCACGGCGAATTTCCCAATGCCCAGGGCCCAAGGGGCTCTTTCTCCCTCTCCTACCGTTCTAGAGTCATTTCCCCACTAAAATCAATTCCAATTCCCACCTCTCAGCGTCTGACCCAGGTAGACCTGGCCTTCCTCTCTCACTAGCCTCGTCATTCATTCTTTCATTCATTGGATCCATCATTCATTCGACGGTACAGCCACCCCTGGCACCCCTCCTATCTTTGTTCCCGGCTTCCGCACCTTTTAATTTCTGCTGGATGGCATAGCGCGCCTTCCGCTCCTGGTCGAGTTCGTTACACAGGGTGTCTGGAAGACATGGAGAGGGGCCGGGGAGGAAATGAGACCACCCTCGGGCCGGCGGAGGTCACAGCCCGGGCCTCACCCTCTCCCCAGCGCTCTTCCTCTCGCGGAAACAAGGCGGGGGACCGAGGGAGGGGGCATCAACACTCCAAACTGCAGCCTGGCGAGGGAGGAAATGGCCTGGGATGGCGCTTAAAGGCAGACGGATCTAACCAAAATTAAAGCAAACTTAGGCATTACTTCCCAGGTAATTTTACGCCTCGATTTTTAATTTAGAAACCATGGAAATTGCCGCGATAAGAAGTTCAATCACTCCATGTAATGATGCCTGCAAGCCGTTTGCTGGGCTCGCTTGCCATTCTGAGGCTAATCAGAGTATACAAAGGATATTAAATAAAGAAAATAATTGTTAAATTACCTTCAATTTAAATCCAAATGACTGAGCCAACATTGCGGCTCCTGCCAGACGAGAGGCAGTTACGGCCCGTGCGCGCGCTCACCTGACTCCCGTCTTACCTCTGACAATTTGCAGCTGTTGCACCATTTCTTCTCGATAAGCCAATTCCCTCTTCATTTGATCCTGAAAATTATCTGTGCAAATTGATTAAGTGAGAGCTGTTACGCACAGCTCCCTCCCTCGGCCCCATTTCCCCACTCCCCACCCCTGCCCCCGCCCCCTCAGTCTCTGGCCTAGCGGGAAACCCCAGAAAAGGAGAGTCGGCGGCTCTCGCAGGGCGCGCAGCGGCAGCTGCCCGCACTGGGGTCCCGGAGTGAGATCTGGGCGCGCAGAAGCAAGGCTCTGGCGTGGGGTGGGGTGGGTCGAGATAGGGGTACCTTTAAGACTCTGAAATTCTCGCTCTAGCTTCTTGCGGAGCTCCATTTGCTCCAGGAGCAGTTTTTGCAATTCGTCTGTAAAGGTGCGAGAGTGGGAAGTAAAGGAGAGGGATGTGGAGAATTCAGGGGGCCCAGAAGTCACGCAAGTCCTGCCCTAGCCTGTAGCCCTGAGACCGGAGTCTGGGAGGGTGGGCCCCAGAAGGTAGAGGTCCTTAGCACTCAGTTTTCCCATTTGCTTTCAAAGGATTTGGGCCAGGAAAAGGCTAGGAGATAGATTGCCCAGGAGAATCAATTCAGGATGGCAGAACACATGTTGGACTTCTAGGCGCTGACTCCAGGCGCTAACCAGCCTGGCATCAGCTTTAAGTTGTTTCTAACTCCCTAACCTTACAGGTTGGTCCAGGAGGACTCAATTTACTCCTTCAAATGACAGACCTAATCTTTCCCTTCAATAATACACAGCAGGGAGAATCTGGTCAAAGCCTTGGAATGCTGCCCCCCCCACCCTCACCCCCCACCCCAGCCCCCGGGAAAAATACATACATTCACAACAGCCTGTTTTCAGCTTGAGGAAGTCCTCAGACCCCAAATCCATGCTAAGAACCCTCACATAAAGCACCACTGACTTTGAAAGTAATTGCATATTCTGTAAATCTGTAACTAGGAAGAGTGGAAGACCACCAACGCTTCTCTCCCTCCCCCACCAATTTCCAAGCCCATCCCTGGGCTGGTTTGGGGTGGGGGGGCAGGTGGGTGTGGAAAGCCCCTTTAGTGCCCTCAGAAACCAGCTCCACAGGGGCGGTAGGGGGCTGCCCTGACCATGGAGCCGTTGGCTTCTCGGTCCTTCCCATGGGAAGGCTTCCTGAGAAATCCCGCCCCAGCAGGTGCTGAGAAAACACCAACAGGGGAGACGGAAGAGCAAAGTGGCTTTAGAGGCTCCCTCCTCTGTGCCTCAAGCCACACTCCCCCTTGCGGGCTGAGCAGCAACCCCAGGATCCCATTCTGAAAACAAGCTCCATCTCCACCCCATTTAGGCTGGGGTGATTATGCATTAATTACAGGAAAAAATTAACCTCTCAGACATTCCTAAAGTAAATGCCTCCTTGTAATCTTCCTATTCAGAAAAACTCATTTTCCATGTGGTTGGGAGATTCAGATTGTCCTCTCCGATTGTCCACATGCATCAAGTTCTGAGCATCATTACTCATTTCTCTTTCTCACTGGGTTATTCAGACAGGCCTGGCCTTGGGAACCCAAACTTCCAATGAACCTCTGGGGGTTTGGTTCACTCTCCCCACCCCCACCCACATACAGACCTCTGTGCCAGGATAATGTGTCCAGAGGACTATCCTTCAGCTCAGTGGAAACTGATTCCTCAGAGCCCTGTCTTCTCAGACTCACTCCTACAGGAATAACACCCTCTACAAGGAGGGCCCATCTCCCTCAAGCACAGTGCACCCCCATTCCACAGATTTAACCTCACCTCTGGCCAGGTTCTCGATGTCTTTCTCCACTAGCTGAGTTCCTGTGACATCCAGAGTGAGCCCATCTTCACCTGGGATACAAGGGCAGGTAAGAGGGATTCTGTCTTGGAAGAGGCCTTGGGAGGGGAGGAGAGAGCTTCCCTGGAACTATGCTAAGACCTACTCCAGGCCCTCTGTCTTCAGAGGAGACAGTTACAGTATCCAGTATCACCCACCTTCCAAGCCATCATTTTAGGAGCGTAGCCATCATTCTAGAGAGTGACCCATTATAGGAGAGTGGACCCCGGGGGAAGATAGGCTCTTAGGGCAGAAAGTGCCCTGTGACCTGTTTTATGTGGGTGATAGTGTCCCTCATTTCCTCTTAGTACACCTCTTCCCTTACCCGGAAGAGCCCCCAACTCAGGAAACATGGCCTGCACCTCGCCTGCGCTGTTGAAATATTTATCTGCCAGCGCAAGAGGGGATGAGCAGCTGCCTACGCTTGATCGAAAGCCTTCCTCGCAAGCTGCAGCCAGTAGGGACCTGGGCGACCTAGGCCCCAGTTCCCGGTGGGGGAGGTGCTCGACAGTCCTAGAGCTCACCTCGGTCTGTAGTTGCGGGACTTGGCTGGGAGATGCTCCTTTGGTCTGGATAGGATTTCCTCGTTTCCAAATCGTCGGCGGTCGAGTGATTGTCTTCCTTTTCTGGCTCTTTAAGGCAATAAACCGAGTTTCAAGGAGAGGCAAAGAAACCGTGACCCCGATACGGCCAGAGCTGCCGCGGTCGGGGCGCCCCAGCCCTAATTAAAAGCGTCCTGGCCGCCGCTGGTTCCCGGCTGTGCGCCTGGGCTCGCACCCTCAGGCTTTGGGCCGGCCCCGCCTCCCCCGCGCGCGGTCTGCTCATCTCGGGCTCCACGCCCCCTCCCCAGCCCCTCAGAAAAGAACAAGACGAGCAGCCGAGCCCACCAGGGACGAGCGACCTACATCGCGCGCAGATACTGGGGCACCGCGAGCGCGCGTGGCCGCCGGCTCTGCCTGGGCCGCTCCCGCCGAGAACGTGGCCCAGGCGGCGACCCGCGGCGTGGTGTCGGAGGGGGAGACATCCTCCTGGGCTCGGCCTGCCCGGATTTCCGAGGCCCACAGCCCCTCTTCTGCGAGCCGCTGGGTCCCGCGCGCACGTGCAGGGATCCCCCCCGCGTTGGGCCGCAGCCACCGCAGCACCTCAGGGGTATCCCAAGCGCGCGGCCCAGCGCCTCCACCCTCCGCTCGCACCCGGCCGGACCACGGGGGACCTCGCGGCCAAAAACACTTGCTGAATAAATGAGACGACTTGAAGGGGGTGCCAGGCGTGATTTTTAAAAGGTTTTAAGCCAGTGTCTGAGGTGTACGTGAGCGTGTGTATGTGTGGTGGAGAGGGCGGCTTGTTGTTGTCAGGTAACCAAACGATGGAAGTTGTTGCGAGTTCTCGCTTAGCTTCCTTTTTCTTCCGTTATTTTTCTTTCCCTCTCCCTCCTTCTGTCGCTGTCTCTGCCTCTCTCTCTCTCCTCTCGTCTTCCCTCCCAGGCCTCCCCTGGCCCCGGCCCGCTGCCTGCGGTCCCCCCTTCGCATTGGCCAGCGACCTCGGCAGGGGGGCTGGGGGCGTTACCGTGGGCCTCGGGGGTGCAGAGGTAGGAGGCTGCGGGCACCAGCGCCGCCGCCGCGCTCTTCACGTGCTCGTCCCGCTCGGGCGCATACACCTGCCGCGGCCGAGAAATGACAGGCGGTTAAGGGGGCGCTTAGCGGTGGCTCCGAGCTGCCCAGCCCAGCGCCGCGGCCCGGCCGGGAGGAAACGCTGAAGGGGTGGCGGAGGTCGGCTCGCCCGCGGGACCGGAGCGCCCTCGGAGGCCGCATCACTGTTGTAGATTCAGGGTAGTTATTAGCGCCCTCGAGAAAATTATCCGAAACACAAAGCGGCTCCCAAGCCAAGGGACGTTCAAGGCCGCCCGCACCCCCTTCGCCTGCCTCCTTTTAGGCATCTTCCCTCCCGCCCGCACCCCGTCCCCAGCATAAATGACGCCTTTCGCATCCGGCTAATGACTCGTGTTTTAATGGACCGAATGGAAATGTACAGGTGTGCGCACCCACTTTCAGATGGCCAACGGTTCCGGCTCAGCTGCCCACCCCGCACCCGAACCTGCGGTCCTGCCAACCTGAGAGCCCCTCTCCCACCCGCACACCGTCTTGACAGCTTTCTATCAACGACCCCTGCGGTTCTCAAGGCAGGAGTTCGAACAGACTTGGAAAACTACGAGTTGGGGTGGAGGAAGATTCTGACGACCCCATACTGCTGAGTCCCGGCTTGGGGGAGAGGTCGCCCTCTCCTCTCCTTATCCGCTCTTCTTCCCTGGGGCTCTGATCCCCATCCAGGCGGGCATGCTGCAGGCCTGGCCTCGAGAGCGCTTTTCTCTGGCTTTGGGTCCCTTTCTTTCCTCCGCATTCTCCCACCAGACCCCTTTTATTTCTCTCCTTCTGTCTCCGTGTGACTGACGGTCTCTGCCTGTCTTCTCCCCACTCCCATCAACAAAAACGCAGGACACGCGTTTCTCAGGCCTGGCCCCCAGAGCTCCCAAAACCCTCAGTCGAGGGTTCCCGCGAGCCCAGCTCCACAGCGCTCCCGAAGCTGGGCCTACCCAGAGCATCCAGGGCTTGGCGCTCGAACGCCCGCTCAGAACAAAATTCCCAACCCCCACCAGGCCAGGGCCTGCCCCACATCCTCGCGGTGCCCAGGGGTAAGCGGGGAGGAGCCATCAGCGGGGCGTGCGCGGGGCTCACCTTGGCCGGCGCAGGGACCCCCAGCGGCCCGCAAGGCTCTCGCAGCTCATAGCCGCTGCTGGGCGAGCTCCTCTCAGGTCTCCGCACCACGTCGTCGGCCGCCAGGTCCCCAAATGCGGACCGGCCGGCTGGGGGTAGCCCCGGGCGGCGCCGGGGACGAGGGCTATCACCGTCGGGAGAGTCTGTGGGGCCGTCGGCGCCCGAGGAGGTGGTAGATGGGGGCCCTGCGGGCTGATCGCCGTCCGGGCCGCCTCCCGTGCTGGGCGCGCCGGCACCACCGGGCTCGGTCCCGTCCAGGGCGCCCTCGTCGTCGGGGAAGCGGTTGGACTCCACGTCTACCTCGGGCTCGTCGGCAGTGTCCACGTCGGGCGAGGCGGAGTGGTAGCTGGAGCTGCCCTCGCTCAGAAAGTCCGGGCTCACATACCCGCCGCCCGACCCCGCGCCCGGCCCCGGCCCACGAGCGGGCCCCGCGCCGTACGCGTCGCGGGCGCTACCGTAGAGCTTGGCAATGCTCTCGGCGTCCTTGACCACAGGCCGGAAGGCCGACACGTAGGAGCCTTTGCGCGCGGGCGGCGGCGGCGGCGGGGGCAGTGGGCCCAGCGGCGGCGGCAGCGCCTCCTCCGCCCCGTCCTCGTCCAGCGGCCCGCGGGACAGCGCGCTCGGGCAGCGCTCCTCTGCGCCCAGGACGCCCTCCTTAGCCGGCTCGGCACCGTCCAGGGGCTCGGGGCCGCCGCCACCTGCAGCAGCCGCCGCCGCCGCCGCTGCCGCCGCTACAGCGGCCGCCACGGCCTTGGCTTGGCTCTGCGCAGCTGGATAGGGCGGCACCGGGAGGCTGCCTGCGGCGGGCCAGAACATGGGGAACGTCGGGTACACAGTGGCTGCGGCGGCCGCTGCAGCCACGGCCGCTGCGTCCTTGGCTGCCCCGGAGGGCTGGTGACCCCAGAACATGGCGCCGCCGCCTGGGCCAGCCCCGGCCCCCGGGGGCAAGTGGCCGGTTCCTGGGCCGCCCGCGCCTCCGCCAGTGCCCGCGCCCCCGCCGGTCCCGGTGCCTGGGCCGCCCTTGGGTTCGCCCGCACCTAGTACGGAGTCGTCCTTTTTGGGGCAGAGGCCGAAGGCCGTGGGGAAGCCGTAGGGATGAGGGAAAAGCGGCGGGGGCAGCTTCTGCAAAAGGCCAAAGCCCTTGCTGGGTACTGGGATCACCGGGTAGCTGCGTACGCCGGCGCCGCCACCAGGCCCTCCAGGGCCCGTAGGGCCGCCGGCTCCCGCTGCCAGACCAAGTCCTCGTTGTGGGTGGGGAGGAGGCGGCCCAGGAGGCCCAGTGGCCTCATCTTCGCTACAGCGCAGGCTTTTGTGGGGCGGCGGGCCTGGGGCCATCTCCGCGCTGCACCCCGGGCCGCCCCCGCCGCCGCCGCCGCCAGCACCACCTTTCCCCTGCCCACCCGACCCGCCATTAGCGCCGCCGCCGCCGCCTCCTTGCAGCGAGAAGGTCCGCTTGCGTGTACCACCATTGAACATGGCCTTGACGTCCTCCCAAGCGTGGCTTAATTCGTCTGTGGCTGACTTGTCACTGAGTTTGAGGTGACGGCGCCACGAGTTGAAGTTGGCGGCGTCAGGCTGCGTATACTTGGCGTCTGGTGTGCGGTGCGAGTGGAAGATGAACTTGTTCGGCGAGAAGTACATGCTGCAATAGCCGCACTTGATGCACTTGGCACGCGAGCTGTTGTAACGCGCGGGGATGAAGCTGCCACGCGAGCCCCACGCGCACTCGTGCACCACATCGAAGGCGAAGTTCTCGGGCAGCTTGGGTGGCTTGTGCTCGCCCAGGAACGACTTGCACAGGCGTTCGGCCTCGCGCTTCGTGATCATGCCGCAGCGGCGCGACGATATGGGCATGGCCCCGGCCCGACGCAGAATCTCCAGCTGCACCGGCGTGCATTGCACGCACGTGATGCCCAGGGCCACGCGGCGATTATGGATCTCATTGTAGCTGTAGTTCTTGAGGAGGGTGTTGGAGATCTGCGCCAAGCACAGGCGCTCCTGGCCGTCGATGACCAGAGACACTATAGGCACCCCATACAGCGACGTCTCGCCCACCTGGTTGGGTTTGAGAGCGCTGGAGCCCGAGTAGGGCTGCAGCTCCTGCTTCGAGTTGGGCGAGGAGTTGCCCTCGCGCCCCGGCCCCAGCTGAGTGGTGAGAGTCTCCATGCCGCCGCTCCTGCGAAACAGAGAAAGCAGAGAGCAGATAAGCCATTTTCAGTGCCGCGGCGGTTCGGGCCCGCCCAGCAGGGCGCGCCGAGTCGGGCGCGCAGGGAAACTTGGCAATGGGGAGTCCCAGCTCATTCGCCCCCTGGACGCCTTTTGTTATTCAGATGCCTGCTGGCGTCGGAACAAAAGCCCCCGGGGTTTGGGGGAGGGGAAGGGGTAATTGAGACCTCAGGAATGCCCTGGCAGCTAGGATTGGGGAAGAAGTGGGGCTCAGAGACGGAGAATGACTTGCCCAAGGCCACACAGCAAAGCCATTGCGGAACCCAGGCTTTCAGGCGCCCAAATCCGTGCGCCTTCGGCCACCCTCGCAGCCTGCCGCCCTACCCGCCCGGGTCCTGAAGCCCGGACTTCGGGGACAGGCCGCCCCTCTGCTCAGTCGCGCATGCACGCGGGCGGGCGGGCGGGCGGGCGGGAGCAGCGCAGGGAGGGGTAGTAGCGGGAAGGGGCGGTCACTGCCCATCTCCAGCAGCAGGGGGCGGGGGGGGCAAGGAGAAGGAGGAGGGTCTCGAGGCAGGAGGGGGGTGAGGGGAGCGAAGAGGCTGAGGCGACTGCTGTTCGCCGTGCTGAACCCGACTCTCTCCAAAGCTCGCCGTGCGCGCCCAGCCCCGGGGCAGCCCCCACCGCACCCAGCTTTGTGCCGGCTCCTCGGGATAACAGCCCTGGTTTCCGCAAACTCGAGCTTCTCCTCTCACGCCCGGAGCCCCGCGTTCGTTGTTCAGAAAGATTCGGGCTGGAAATATAAGCTGTTTTCTTTCCAGCCATCAGTGGGACCAGGGTCACGCAGTTCCTAACCACATTTTCTGCATTTTTAGCTGCGTTCCAGGCCAAAGCTGGTTTCCATCCGGGTCAGCGCGTGGGACGGAGAGGTTCTCAAGGAAGTTTCTCAGGAGCCACTTCTCCTTTGCTTCTAACTGCCCACTTCCTAAGGTTTCCTCCTTCAGATATGCCTCTCCCCCTCAGGCCAAATGCACTCTCCAGGCTCTGGGCTTCCTCTTTTGGAGGGGTGTCTCCTCTCTGAGTATCCTTCATGTCGGGCTGTCCCAGCTCATATGTACTGAGTGGAATCCTGGCTGGTCTCCGAAACCACCACGACAACGCTCCAGGTCAAAAGTTGGTGCGGTCCCGCGCTCTGCTCTCTGGCGGAGGGAGGGAGGCAGCCGTGTCTGCGGACCTCAGCAGCGAGAGGAGCCGGGGGCTGATGCTTGGGGCCCACTAGGTGGCCTGGCCCAACCACGTGTCCTCAGACACGGAAGGCTCCTACCCGGCCCACAGCTGCAGGCACTCCTGCGGCCCAGGCAGCCCAACCCTAAGGGCCCCTTCCCTAAACTCGGCAGGAAACACAAATCCATTTTCAGAGGGGCAGCTCCAGCCGGACAGGGGATCCGAGTTCAAAAGCGTTCAAGGAGGAGACTGGGATCTTCTGTCTGTCTGTCTCCCCCTCTCTTTCTGCTTCTCCAGGTGCCCCTCATCTGTCGATCTTATCTGTCCCTGAGCTGTCTGTCTCTCGCAGCTCGCTCCTCTTTCTCCCATCTGTCTTCATTCCTTCTTCAAGTATCAAGCTATGTATCTGTTATCTGTTTCATCTTTATCTCTGCGGATCGAATTGAAACAAGTTGACCCTCCTTTAGCGTGAAGTCCCTTGTAACATTTTAGGAGGCAAAAACACTGTCCTAACTCCCTGGCTGAGCGGTCAGCAAGACAAGCCCCACACCCCTCTGAAGGGCTCTCAGGCGGGCTGGGGAGGTGGCCGGGCGCCGCGGCTCTGAGAAATGACGGTCTTCTCGGTCTCCCGAAATCGGCAAGTGTGCCCTGCCCGCATACAGTGAAAGGATGACCCCCAGCTGAGCGCATCCTCCCCAAGCTGAGGGTCTGGGGTCCCCGCGAGGTTTTCCCGAGTGGGAGGAGGGGGCTCCGGGCTCCGGAGCCAGGAAAACGGGGGCCCTAGGAAAGGAACCGAATTTCGAGGACCAGAGCAGAAAGCCCGGGCAAAAGGCTGTACGCAGCGACAAGGAGCAGCGGCCAGGGCGGCTCGGGGAGTCCTCGCCGGTTCCTGGGGCTTGAGGGGTGAGCTTGGAGAGGGCGATGAGGCGGGAGGCGGGCAGCGGTGGGAGTGAGGCGATGGAGTCTTTAGGTATAATAATAAAAACAAACAGCCACAAGAACCCAAATCGGAACTAAACGAAAAAAGCTGTACGGGAAGGGCGCGAAGGTGGCGAGTGAGCCGACGCGGGTACTCACCGTGCGGCGGCGGCTGGAGCCGGGCGAGCGGTGAGCCGAGGTGCGCGGCGGGCGGAGCGGCGGGCGGGAGTCCGGGATCCGTCGGGCTCTCCGGGTGACGGCGCGGCCCCTCCCCGCGCGCGCGCACAGCCGCGCTCCCGGGCTCCCGGCGCTCACACCCGCGGCCCCGCCGGCCCCTCCCGCGCGGCGCCCGCTCTCAGCAGGCGCGGGGCGCAAAGGCCCCGGGCGCGGAGAAGTGTGCCCTGCGCCGCTGCCCCCGCGGCCCCGGACGGGCCCAGAGCGGAGGACGAAGCCTGGAGCGCATGGCGCGGCGACGAGCACGGCGCGGTCACAGCCAGAGTGGTGAGGCCGGCGCGGGGCGGGCGAGCCTGACAGCTGCGAGCCGGGGCGCCACACCCACCGCCCGCGCAGTCGCTCGCGCCCTCCCGGGGTCCGCTAGCCCGCGGGCCACGCGCCGCGCCTGCCGCCTCCACGCACCCCCGGGCCTGCGCGCCCCAGGTAAGCTGCCGCACACCTGCGCCCTGCCCCCGGCACCTGCGGCCCACGCTCGCCAAAGGGGCCAGGAGAGAGGAAGGGCCCGGGGCCGCGAAGTTTGTCCCCAGGAACGAAGTGGGGAGGGCCCAGCGCTCCCCGCCAAGGGGCCAGGATCGAGCCAGGCCTAGGCCGGGTGATGGGGCTAAGGGATGGCTCACAGAAGGAAGGGGCGCGGGGAGGAGTACCTCACTTTCAGGCCAGGGCAGTGCAGCCTGAAAGTGGTCCTGGGGAGCCAGCAGGGTTACCAGCGGCTGGGGCAGAGACCAGAGTGTGGGGTGAGAGGGTGTGACAGCTGGGAAGGGGCAGAACCAACTCCCCCGCCGCTTCTGACTTGGATGGGAACCGTCAGGACAGCTCCAGCCTGGAGAGGAGCGACCTCCCTCCTCTTTCATGGAGCAGTGGATTCGGGAACGGGGTTTGAAGGGGCCCCCGGCCTTGAACGCCTCCCCCCACCGACATCAAAGGGCCCAGGGCGGGACCCATGTCATTGCTGGGAGATACCTGGGGTCAGGTACTGTCTAGTTGACTGCTGGACTACTCTCTAGCTCTCTTGCTAACTCAGTTTCCCGTCAGTGGTCCACCCCCTGACGCTGCAGACTGCCCCTTGGCATCTTTTCTCTTCCCGAAGCTCCGTTTCTCTCCATCCCTCTCTCCTCTTTCTGTCGGTTTCCGTCTTCATTCTTTCCCCCGACTACCCCATTGCGTCCCCGTGTTCTCCCTCTCAATCTCGGTCTCTACTTCATTTGAGCACCCCTCCCTCTTTGCTCGCATCCGGGCGCCCTCTTGCCTCTCCCCCCGCCCCCCAGTGGCATTAAGTGTCCTTAATGGACACGTTAATTAAACTGTAATTAATCATACTGTCCGGCCCAAGTTTGAACAATTACCCTAATCAAACAGAAGTTAATAATGGCAGGGATGGCCCGGGGCACGGCGGGCCGCCCGGGCAGGGGGCGCGGCAGCCACGGCGGCTACCGACGGTGGCAGCAACGGCGAGCGAAGCCTGTCCTTGGAGCCCGGGCGGCGCCATAAATCTTCCGCGGCCAGCGGCGCGGGGTCGCCCTGCCCCCGCCCCCTCGTTTTCCCTCTCGCTCCGGGTTGCCGGCCCTCTCCCCTCCTGCATTCCGGCTCCTCTGGGGCTTGTCTCCCCTTCTTGCCTCTCGCTTTTCTCTTCTCCGCGGGCTCGCAGGGACCCTGGGAAAAGCCTGCGGGTGCGGGAACGGATCGCCCAGGCCTAACCGTCGGAGAGAGGGGGCGACTAGGCCCGGCCTGAGGACTCGTTTGCCATCTCCTTCTCCCCTTGGCTAAGGTGTCCTCTGAGGCCTCGAAAACTACCCCCAAGTTTGAGGGTTCTGTCTTCTGCGCGGAGTCTCTTCTAGAGCGAGTTCCTGCTTTTTAACCTCCCTCAGTCCCCGTCTTGGATCTCCCCGTCTTGCTCTCTTTTCTCCCAGAGCCTGCTCAGCCCTTCTCTCTCTGCTTCTGGCCCCTCCGTTGGCGCGTCTTTCCCAGGCTCTGCCTCTGTCCCGCACTGACTCTGACGCTCTCTACCCCCTCCCCCCCTTCACTTCCCCCCGAGGAAAACAAGAACCCATTTTCCGTCCCAGTCCGAGAGCCTCCCTGAGCCTCCACCTGCTAGTCCACCCTCCCTCGGCCTGGCCTCCCCCACCCCGTAATTACACTCCCGTTCGGTAATTATTCTTAGCCTCCTAATGATTTTTTAAAAGGCATCTCAGAATTCAGTGTGGTGGTGACAACGATTGCGGAGCCAGGACGCCCCCGGGGTAGTGGGGGGTGGGAGTGGAAAGAGGATGGGCAGGGTCCCCCTGAGCAGGGCCTGCCTGTCCTGCCTCTATTGTACTGCGAGGGCCAACAAGGCCTCGGGGCCGGCCTCTAGGGCGTTCCCGGCAGCCTGGCCGCGGGGCCCCAGAGACTTCTTAGACGCAAGTTCCCTCCCCAGGTTACCGTACCGGGGCCTTGCGGCGTCGCCTCGACGTCTCCGTTCAGCACCAAGCTGCGGACAGCTCCCTGCGCCGGCGTCCGGCTGTGCCGACCCACCTGACTCTGCCACCCGGTCTGAGACGGAGAAAGACTGACGGCGCGTGGAGAGACTGGGGAGGCGCCGCCGCCCGCTGGAGGGGTGTAGTCTCCGGGGAGCGGGTCTTGAGGGCCGGGCCTGGGCTCGGCTCTGGACCAGCGTCCAGTTGGTTAGTATCACCGCGAACCGCATTTTACAGTTTGCAGAGCCGGTTCTCACAAAGGCCCCGGGAATAGGTAGGGGTTATTTATTCCCATTTCACAGGCAGGAAACTGAGGGTCAGGCAGTGGAGGCCAACCCACCCAGGTTCCTCGGTCAATAAGGGACGCAGGCTGGCCTCCCAGCCCCCAAATCTCGTGCCGTGCACGCTGCCGCGAGGGCCTCTCTTGGGGAAGGGAAGGGAAGGAGGGTGCAGGCTGCGCAGCCACGAGGACCTTTTATCACCGCCCTCGCCACACTTTGTGCGGAGGAAACAGGCCTAGCGAAGCCAGGTCACCTGCCCAGGTTCAGCAGCCAGTGCGGGGCGGGGCTGAGACTTGAACTCGGGCTCCGATGGGGGAGGGTGGGACCCCTCTTTCTCAGAGCGGGCTCTGGGTCCTGCGGTCCCGTCTAGGGCTGGGGAGCCCGCGGGAGTCGGTGCCCTTGGTCTTCCTCACCCCCGTTAGCGCGGATTTTCTCTCTTTTATCCACGGGCGTGTGGCACCAAGGTCGGAGGCCGGACTCCGGATCAGGCACGCGCCTCGCGTGTCCCCCCACCCCAGCCGCGTCCGTGCTGCCTCGGCGTCCCAGGCGTCGCGTCCACGCGGCCGGGCGTCCCGCGCCCACACGGGCTCCGGCTTGGGCTTGGGCTGGGCGGCCGCGCCTCCTCCGCAAGCACATATCTTTTACCAGTTGAATTAACGGCAGTTTTCGTCAGTTAATTAGGTTTAATTTACATAATTAGTACAGTATAAAGAGGATTGGGGATAATCATGGGGTACGTAGCGCTTACTGTGTAAACACGTATTCTGAATTAAAAATCAGATGTAATTAAGGCGCGCAGGCCCTGTTTAGGCAGGGTTTTAATTGTAATGAATTTCTAATTAACACTCAATGATTGCCAAATGCAAAGGGCTGTAAAATTTTCTTGTAGTTTTGCTAATTTATTGTTTACTTAATATCTGGATATTAATCCGACGGCCAGATAGACTAGAGCCCCGCGCGGCGGCGGCCCCGGCGAGCGAAGGTGGCTGGGCGGGGCCTGCCGGCCGCAGCCCCAGCGCCGAGGCGAGGTCGCGGGGAGGCGGGGGCCCCAGAGTCCGCGAGAAGGTGCTCAGAGCGCCCGGCCCAGCTGACTCCGGGTGCGGACGGGAAGACTGAGGCTCCGGGAGGGCTGGGACTTGCCCGAGGCCTCACACTCTGGGGTCATGCCGCCCTGAGCCGGCTCTTCGGGATCAGAGGCGAGGCCAGCGCTCCTCCCAGCAACGGTTCCCCCGATCCTCGGACAGCACAAGGAGGAAGAAAAGTCGAGGCCTAGGTCCAGTTCTCCCACTGACCACCTGAGTGACCATGGACTTTGACTTGGCCTCGATATGTGCATCTGTAGAATGGACATGCTGACCGGCACTTTGCTGGAGTGAAGGATGCACCGTCCAAGAGGCCCAAGAGCACTACAGATGGACGTCTTTCTTCTGGAGCCCTGAGAGGGTGGAGGACCGGGCTTGAAGGGCTCTGCTGGGGGGTAAGTCACTTAAGCTTAGGGGAGGGGTAGGGGCAGAGCCGGGAGGCCTTGGGAATGATTTGAAGGCCATGAGGTCTAGCTATGTCCATCAGAGGGCTCTCTCTGCACTTGGGGGAGGGACTAAGCAGGGAGCCCAGGACCAAACTTCTTTGCCCCAAGGAGACATAGAGGCCCCAAGGCCAGAGTAGAGGTATTTGGGAAAGAGGGTGGGTGAGGAGCTCAGCTGACCCCAGCACTCCCCCTCACCCCAGATGTCTAGTTTGGGTCCCTGCCCATATCCCAGCAGCCCTGCCCCACCCCTCCCCGCCAAGGATTCCCCCCCCCCCAAGCCTTAGCCTTGCCACAAGCCTCTTTCCAAGGTCCTTAGCACAGGCTAGACTGTGGGCACTTAGAAATTTCCTGCTAACCCAAGGAAACACACTAAGAAAATTCATTGGCACCCAGAGGCTTCTGCCGCACAGAGCAGGCTGCCTTGACCTCTCTCTCCAGTGCCTGTCAGAAGCCGCAGAGGCCTCTCCTGGACACTACACAGGGCCTCCTCAGAGCCTTCCTGAGCCCCTCGTCCCTCTCTGTCGCATGCTGTTTTATTTTCATCATTGGATTGTTCACTAGTTAATATTTCCTGATTAGTTATTTGTTTGTGAGTGTTTTCTGTTTCTCCCACTGGAATGTTTTCTTTGTTGTTGTATTCCCAGGGCCTAGCACACAGTAGGTGCCCAAATGTTTGTTGAATGAATGAGTGAACAGCATTTGAGTGTATGGGCTGTGAGCCCCAGCCCAGGTCCCAGCTGACTTGCTGGTCACAGTGATTGAATGCTGCCCTTGGCATCTGGTGGCCAATCTGGGTTTTCAAGAGTAGAAGGTTCTGTGCTCCCTGGTGATGTCTAGGAGGTTTGGGATTCCCGCCTTCCACACACACAAGGCTGCTCAGGCAGAGCCTGGGAGGCCTGTTCTCTGAGGAGGAGGGGTCGGGCGCTGGCAGACAGGTGTGGAGCAGCTGGTAGGCTTGCTGAGCTCTTCCTGGTTGTAAGGGGCTTCCTTCCCAGGGCCTCCTCTACTGAGCATGGTGGGGGAAGGGGCTGGAAAGAGAACAGATGTCATAAGGACTAAATAAGGTGCTGGGTGTAGGGCACATATCCAAGTCTGGGACTAGACTGAGGTCCCCAGGGCACAAAATTTAAGGAGGCATTCACTCTCAGGATCCTGAAAATCCTCCCCCAGTCCCAGCCCTGCACAAAGCAGACAGCGCAGAGTAGGTGCTCAGCACCTGTGGGTCCCCCCTCCGCTGACAGCCGCAGATCACTTCTGGATGCCTGCCTGAACATTGGTGGAGTCCAGTCAGCTTGCTGGGACAGGTCGAGCTTTATTGAGATATAATTCACATGCCATATAATTCACCTATTAAAAGTGTACAAGTCAATGGTTTTTCATATATTCAAAGAATTGTGCAACCATCACCACTATCAATTTCAGAATATTTTCATCACCCCAGAGAAAACTCCCCTACCCAACAGCTATCACCCCATCTCTCCACCCTCCCCGAACCCCTGGCAATGACTAATCTACTTTCTGTCTCTATAAATAATTTGCCTATTCTAGACACTTCATATAAATGGAAACATACAATATGTGGTCTTTTGTGTCTGGCTTCTTTCACTTAGCATGTTTTCAAGGTTCATCCATGTTGTAGCATGGATCAGCACTTCATTCCTTTTTATTGCCAAATAATATTCCATTGTATGGATATCCCACATTTCGTTTATCTGTTCATCCATTGATGAATATTTGGGTTGTTTCCACTTTTTGTCTATTATGAATGAAGGTGCTATGAAAGTTCATGTACAAGTTTTTGTGTGGCTGTATTTAATTTCTCTTGGGTATGCATCTAGGTGTAGAATTGCTGGGTCATATGGTTTAAGGAACTACCAAACTGGTTTTCCAAAGCACTGCACCATTGTACATTCCCACCAGTAATGTATTTCTGGGTTCTGATTTCTCCACGTCCTTGACAGCACTTGTTACTATCTGTCTTTTTTTATTATGGCATCCTATTGGGTGTGAAATACTATCGCATTGTGGTTTTGACTTGCATTTCTCTGATGACTAATGATTTTGAGCATCTTTTCATGTGCTTATTAGCCATTTGTACATCTTCTTTGGAGAAATGCTTTGCCCACTTTTTCAATTGGGTAATTTGTATTTTTATTATAGAATTGAAAGCGTTCTTTATATATTCTAGATACAAGTCCCTTTTTAGTTGTATGGTTTGCAAATATCTTCTCCTGTAAGTTGTCTTTTCACTTTCTTTTTTGTTTTGTTTTGTGAGGAAGATTAGCCTTGAGCCAACATCCAATGCCAATCCTCCTCTTTTTTTGCTGAGGAAGATTGGCCCTGGGCTAACATCCGTGCCCATCTTCCTCTACTTTATATGGGACGCCGCCACAGCATGGCTTGACAAGCAGTGGGTCTGTCTGCGCCCGGGATCTGAACCTGTGAACCCTGGGCCACTGAAGCGAAGCGCGCACACTTTAACTGCTATGCCACTGGGCGGCCCCCTCTTTTCATTTTCTTAATGGTGTCCTTTGAAGCACAAAAGTTTTTAATTTTAATGACATCCAATTTATCTATTTTATTTTTTGCTGCTTGTACTTTTGGTGTAATATCTAAGAAGGCTTTGCTGAACCCAAAGTCATAAGATTTACTCCTATATTTTCTTTAAAGAACGTTATAGTTTTAGTGCTTACATTTAGGTCTATGATCCATTTTGAGTTAACTTTTGTGTATGATGTGAAGGAGAGACCCAAATTCATTATTTTGCATATGGACATCCAGTTGTCCCAGCACCACTTGTTGAAAAGATTATTCACTCCCCATTAAATTGTCTTGGCATCGCACTGGCTTTTCCGGTCTGGAGAAATGACTATCCTCCTTTCCCCAGAAGAGATGGGACCTCCTCAGAGAAGGGGCCCATCCAGCCTCCTCCCTCTGCCGACGCAAATGGAAGCTCACTGTAACTGCTCAGGAACCAGGAACCAGTCATTCTCCAGAAAATATTGGTGAGGCTTCTCTCCTTCCCCCTGCCCCCACTGATAATTCACTTCTCCCTTCCTCCTTCCGATGTACGTGGCATGCGCCTCTATTACCACACTGGCCTGGGATGGAGTGACTGTGGGGTGTTCTCTCTTACTGGAGTAAGAGTCCTAAGAGAACATAGCCTGCATCGTACAGGGCGGGAGCTATTGCTGAAGAAACAGCCTTCACTTCAGTCAGGTCCAGGTTTGAATCTTAGGTTCCCAAGTACTAAGTTATTTAAGTACTAAGTAGCTACTACTTCCTGACTGTGGCTTTGAGCAAATCACTTTACCTCTCTGAACCTCAGCTTCCTTGACCATGAAATGGGCATGCTGGTATCATAGGATTGTTGGGAGAAAACTAGCCAAGAGGAGAAATGCCAACGGCCCTGCACAGTGCC